AATCCTGAATATAGAGAGAGACTTATCAAAATGGGGAAAAGAAAGTATTATGATGATGCTGAATATAGAGAAAAGTTGAGTAAGGAAGGGAAAAGAAAGTATTATGAAAATGCAGCCTTTACGAAGTACAAAATAAATAAGTATAAAACTAAGTATCAGCAAGATAGCTCATTTAGGCTCAAGGAAATAGAAAGAGTTAAACATAAGTATCATGACAATGCTTTGTACCGAAAAGGACTTATTGATAGAATAAAAAAGAAATATCTTTATGTATGTTCTTTCAAAAAGAAATTGATACAGTATGGCAAAATGAAGAAAAAAAATTCTTAATATCGCAAAAAGACAATTGATTAGCAACTGAGACGTAGGTTAATTGACAAAGAGAAAAGACGTAAGATGTGTTTTGTAATCAAGAAATTCAGAGAAAGTATATCTGAAGGACCTGATCATGTGTGTGCTTGCTGTCACAAACTACTGTTTAGAAAGCAAGTTACAAAGTGTAAAATAGAGAAATACAAACATCCAGTACATATTAATAAGAAATACTTGCATACTTGTCAAGAATGTGAATCAAGATGTACTGTTGGAAAATCTAGTAGGTCACAGTTATGGATATGTTTTACCTGTCATAGGAAATTACTTGATGGGAAAGTTCCTGCTGAAGCATATAGCAATAATTTGAAAGTTGTTGAAATTCCAGATGAATTAGCTTGTTTGAATAGACTAGAAGAACATTTAATAGCAATAAATGTGCCATTTATGAAATAAATTGCATTACCTAAAGGAGGACAACATGGTGCACATGGACCAGTTGTGTGTGTACCATCAAATACAGTTGACACAATTAATGCATTACCAAGACCTGAAAGTAATGATCAGATGATTAGAGTTAAGTTAAAAAGAAAATTAACTTATAAAGGATATTATCAATATCAGTTTGTGAATAAGGAAAATGTAGTCAATGCTTTACTTTATCTGAAACTTAACAATAAGTGGTTTACTAATATTGAAATAAATACTGCTTGGATCAGTTCGTTGTCCAAAGATAATGCAGAAATGGATGAATCCATACACGATGTCAAAGAAGTTGTTGATGAAAGTAATCATAGTGATGAGGAAACAGATGATGATCGTTTACGAGGCTTGCTACTAGACACTTGTCTCTAGCCAGTTGATATTGGACAACAAACGCTCGACCAGTATTGTGATGAAGTGCTGTGTGTAGCTCCATGTGAAGGCAATAGTCCAATCAGATTACTAATAGAAAAGGGTAATGAAGCAAAATGCTTTCCTGTTTTATTCCCATCAGGTCAGCCTGTATTTGATGATGATCGTAAAGTGAATTTGACACTCTGTAGATATTTTCATAATCGATTAATGAATGTTGATAACAGATTTGCAAGAAATATACAGTACATATTTTATGCTCAATATTTATCAGAGATTCAGAAAGTTATGTCTAGTGTGTCTGTTGCATTAAGAAAAGGATGTGACAAGAAGTACAATGGAGAGAATGTGAATGCCTCGATGATCCGTGACAGGAACCAGTTGCAAGATATTTTGAAATCAGACAGTGGATATAAATTCCTCAAACCTATTCGTGGTACACCTCCATATTGGCAAGCAACACAAAAGGATGTTTTGGCTATGATCAGACAGTTAGGAATACCAACCTGGTTTTGTTCATTTTCCTCAGCAGACATGAGATGGCCTGAAGTAATCAATACAATTTTAAGACAACAGGGGGATTGTAGAGATGTGAAAGATTTAGACTGGAATGAAAAATGTGCTATATTAAGAAGTAATCCTGTTACTGTTGCAAGAATGTTTGATAAAAGATTCCATACGTTTTTGAAAGATGTAATTTTGTCTGAAGCCCAACCAATTGGAAAAGTCAAAGACTATTTCTATAGAGTAGAATTTCAGCAAAGAGGTTCTCCACATACACATTGTCTCTTTTGGATTGAAAATGCACCCAAATTGGAACATAATAGTAAAAAAGACATTGTAACATTTATTGACAATAAATAAATTGGCTATCATGTTTGGTGGTGCACTGAAACCTGTAAAGAATATAATGGAAAGTAACAGAGCTTTATATGAAACCAGTGGTGAGGCAGTAGATGAAGCTGAAGAAAAATTAGAGAAATTAGGTCCACAAGAAGATGCTTGGGCATTGATAGCTCCTGAAAGGGAAAAGGAAAGACTTGAATGTGAGCAGGAACTAAACTTACATGTAGAAGAAAGTGAAAATGAATTAGATATTCCTGATTCGCAAGGCAAAAGAGGTCATGTCAATTATAACATTGAGCCACACAGGCTGAATGTATCTAAACAGTATGCGACAAGTATGTTGAGGTGTCTAAATAAGAAACAAAAGCAAGTGTTTTACAAAGTGAGGCAATGGTGTATTGACAAAGTAAATGGTAAAAATCCTGATCCATTTCGTGTATTTCGTATATTTACTGGTGGAGCAGGAACAGGAAAAAGCCATTTAATTAAATGTATTTACTATGAAGCCACAAGACTTTTTGGACAAATGATGGAATGCCCTGATGATGTATCAATTTTACTGACAGCCCCCACAGGTGTTGCTGCATATAATATCAATGGGTCTACAATTCATAGTGCTTTGTCTATTACAACGAATGTCAGATTGCCATACCAACCACTTAGTGAAGAGAAGATCAGTACATTGAGGCATAAATTAAGGCAGTTACAAATATTAGTTGTTGATGAAATATCAATGGTAAAGTCATAAACTTTTGTGCTACATTCACAGTCGTTTGCAACAAATTAAGCAGTCAAGGGGTCATAGTCTGTTTGGCAATGTGAGTATACTAGCTGTTGGAGATTTTTATCAATTGCCTCCAGTTAAAGCCAAGTCATTATATCAACCTGATGTTTTAACTGATTTGTGGAATGATAATTTTGTTAAGGTAGAACTGACGGAAATAATGAGACAAAAAGAAGATGCAAAATTTGCTGAAGTATTGAATAGGCTACGAATAAGAAAAAAAGGAGAAAATTTACAATCTGATGATAAGAAAATGTTAGAATCTTGTGAAACCGGAGAAGATTGGACAGATGCTGTGCATATTTACCCCTGCAATACAGGTGGATGAGTACAATACCCAAACTTTGTTTGTGAAATGTACAGAATCTTGTTTTAGTATTCCAGCTAAAGACTTTCAGAGAGATGTCAAAAGTGGTAAAATGATACCTGTGCGGAAATTGTCAAAGAAGTCTTCCAGTACAGATTTGTCTGATTTATTATGGCTTGGTGTTGGTGCTAGAGTCATGCTTACAAGGAACCTGGATGTAGCTGATGGACTTGTTAATGGAGTATTTGGAACTGTTCAGGAAATAGTAACGCTACCAAATGCAGAATCTCCTAAATATATTAAGGTAAAATTTGACAATGAAAACATTGGAACAAAATTGAAAAACCAATCCCTTGTTCGTGATGGTGACACAGTTAGTATTGAAGTGGTTGAAGAAAATCTGACAAAACAGTGTGTGAGAAATCAATTTCCTCTCAAGTTAGCTTGGGCTTGTACAAGTCACAAAGTGCAAGGTATGAGTTTAGAAAAAGCAGTGGTGTGTTTGGAGAAGACATTTTCAGCAGGACAAGCTTATGTCAGTTTGAGCAGAGTTGTCTCTCTTAATGGCCTTGTGATCCAAGGCCATTTGATGAAAAATATATATATTGTAATGAAGCAGTAGCAGAGGCAATGAACAAAATGTCATCATACATTATGAAGTGTGATCATGAAGACAGTAATTGTGAAGGCTTTGACAATGAGATTGACCTTGGAAGATGTTACAGAACAAGTATTGCTATGCATAACATTCAAGGATTGGAAGCACATTTCACAGATTTGAAAAGCAACAGTGATATGTTGTCATGTGATTTCATTTGCCTGACAGAGACATGGATTAATGGAGATTTTGATTGTGGTAACAATATGACCGAGTATGAATGGTATTACCAAACAAGAAACATGTCTTATGACAATTTGAGTAGTGTAAGAAGTATGTTGAAAAAACAATGCCATGGAGGTGTAGCTGTGTGCGGGAAAAAGACTAGAACATTCAGAAGGTTGAATTTGGCAGTGACCAATCTTGAGTGTATTGCATTCGTAGAACATGGAAGTTCAAACTCGACATTTCCAGTGGTAGTTGTTGTTCTTTATCGACCACCGTCATACACATTGAAAGAATTTGTAGAAGCTGGTGAAGTGATGTTAAATGAAATTCACAAGTGTTCAAGCAAGTGCATTATTATGGGTGATTTTAATGAAGATGTTTTGCATAAGGATTCTCAAGTGGAAAAATTTATGGATAATCATGGCTATAGGCAGTGCGTTAGTGGTGCAACAACTCAGAGAGGAACATTGCTTGATCATGTTTATGTGAGAAATATAGACAATGTTCATGTTGCAGTTGTTCCAACCTACTATAGCTACCATGAAGCTGTCATTATTCACTTCTGATTTTGCTGAGAATAATTTGTTCTCAGTGTGTCTCAACTTTGTGGAATAACCCATATGAAAAAATAGTGAGGTCACAGTAAGTAAAATGTTTCAATAAAATATTAACATGAAAACATTGATACAAATTAAGATTGCAAGAAGTTTAAAAAGTTTAGCAACAGAGAACTTTGAAGTAGATGAAACAAGAATGATATAGGTAAATGTGAAAAAACTTGTTATTGCCATATTGGTATGAAGAAAAAAAGTGTGGTCAGGGTAAGCAAGAAGGTTTTAATATAACCAGAACAAGGAAAACATTGATAAAAGAAGTTTATAAAAATGAGGTTGAGCGGAAGACTTCAAAGAACATGAAACAAAAATGCTAAATGTATGTAACTATTCGATTTGAGTATAATACTGTGATCAGGATACCAAGAAGGTTTTAACTGAAAAATATGAAAAAGATTTGAAAATTTAAGAAAGTTAAGAAAGTATTGAAGGAAAGTATCTAGCAATGAGTTTACAATTCCTAAATTCACAAGTACATCAGCAAAAAAGTTAAGAAGAGACTGTGAGTTTAATAAAACTATTATCCATTAGATGAAAACTACATTAAGATGGTATTGTAAATGAGAAATTAGTGAATAATAATACTAATAATAAAACACAATTTATAACATACTTTAGCAGAAGCTTTTCAAAGACATAGGTCTAGATGTGAAAACTTTGATTATTTACAAAAGCTTGCAAAAATGTGTCTTCAGTTTTGGTGTAAAGAGTGTAAAGGATGTTCTGGTGTATTATGTGAATGGTGACATTTGTCATATTTGTGCAACTGAATACAATGGAAAATGACCATCAATGTAATAGTGTAGAATGTATCACTGTCACACTCATTGTTGAGTGTGACCTATCACTAGTCCACCACATCAATGGTGGACTACCACTGGCGACTGCAGTTGTGAGGCACCTAAATCATTCTGCTGATAGGTGCACGTCTTCTCTGTCTTCATAAAAAAAGATGGCTACAAGACCACCAATGTACAACTAATGCATGACACTTAATTCATCAGTTCTTATGAACATCCAGGGATAATGACTGCAAGTGACTGTATTTGTGGAGCTTTTCTATCTATGGAACTGTGACTGTCTTTTACTGATATTCAAGAGATACATGAGGACTGCACAGGTGTAGCTTGCAGGGTTGAGGATATGACGTGATGATGGCAATGAATAGCTGCTACTTGGAACTTTGAAGTTAACCCCCAGAAATGATTGCCATTCAATAACTGTATTCCCAGTTCTTCGGATCATTGAAGTGAAATACGGAGCATGTCAAGGGAAAACATTCTTGAATGGAAACTTGAATGTGGCAGTATAAACGTCATTCACTTCTAATTGATGGTGAAACCAATCACAAACTGTCATATGAAGACCAACATGTATATTCACAGGCATATCTAGCATTTCAGCACTCCCCAGTTAGATGATAGACTCTTCAAAATGGTGATGTCAGTTACCATAACTACAGGCAGGCAACATATTGTGCTGGGCAAAGACAAAACCATGTGTCATTTGAAGTGCCTTGATGTATCATTCAGAAACAGTTGAGTAGTATATCTATGCTATTCTGTCAACAGTGTTGCTACTGCAGGTGTTATCAATACATTTCACAAAGCCATGTACTATATAGTTAAAGCTTCACTGCACCACTGACACTCTTTTAACCAATGTTAAAAATTGTTTCATGACAACACCATCAAGTATCAAGTAAAAATTCTGCAATTGAATGAACATGAGAAAGAAATTGCATTTACAATTGTTACTTATTCTTGCATGCTCTTACTTAACATTTATATTACAGACATTCACTTATTTTCTGTTCTTTCCGTGTCATTCTATTGCAGAGTGTATGCATTCTTGGGAGAATTGAATAAATCAGCCTGTGAGTTTTGAAGTATGGTTGCTGGATGGTTGCAGTTTCCTGCATTTAAAGGTATTGCTTGCTTAACAAGCAGTGAAATGTAGAATTATATTTTCTATCAACACTTCGGCAATCAGACATACAGCTAACAAAGGTTACATGTTACTTTCAATGTCCTTCATTTGGTCTTAGATGTCAAATTGTCTTCTGTTATCTCTACTTTCTCATTTTTATTGTAGACTGTTACCATAAAAACCCATAAGACATACTTGTACACATGTATGTACATAGTTCAGGAAAATAATGTCCTTGTGCTATTTTACAGTAGGTAACTCCAAGGGGGGCATTTCATTTAGATGCTCACTAGGTCAGAGGAACTTTTGAAGTTGGCAGATATTATAAATAGTTGTGACACATATACATGTACATGTATGGGCCTTCACAAAGTCAACAAATGAATGTATATACTGATTTTTTCCCCAAATAAGCACAGTTTAACTATGATGTTTTGCTTTTTGCAGATTATCTATAGCTTGTGTATGTACAAGTGATGTCAGTATTCCCTAACACTAGTCATCCACTGTATCCAGTGCAGGAATTTGACGAGTTCATCACCACTCGGATGATTGACAGTTTCGACAGTCACTGAAGAAAATTATTAACCACATCCCATATTACTTTTGTGTGAGGAACAAATAATTGCTTTTCATTCAAACCTCACCTATTCTTTTTTATATTGCTATCATATCTTACAATAACTTTTAACTTGTTTATTGGTTGTTTCCCAAATTAGAAAATCAATTCATAGCTGATTTTCAGTTTTTGACATTTATAGTACAATTTCTGAAAATGTTAAACTAAGAGTGTCTACTGATTATTGCAAAAACTCACTTTGAGTTTTGTGACTTCTTATTTCCGGGCCACCCTGATGAAATGCTAGAAAATAAATAAATATTACATTGAATTATAACATGAATACATGTACATGTACTGCAGTTTCTTGCAGTGCTAAGGATTACTACTGCTTCCAGCAGTGACACTGATACATGAAACTTTGGCCAGTTGGATGTTGTGGAAGATGACTTAGTGTCAACCGTTTCCACTTTCCACCCTGTAGAACTTGGCGGATGGTTCCAACAGTATTTCAATATGATACAGATGCCAGTTTCAATCTGAAGTTGTATGATCTTGTGTACATGTATTCTGTAATCACCACACTCATTACTTTTCAATGTACAAATATGCTTGTAAAAACCATATCACCTTAATGACAACTAAAGAAATCAACTTTTAACATGTTATGTATGGTACCTTTGAGGAAACACTATAATAACAAGGCCCCTAACTTCTTGTAGCAGTCATGGTGCCTTGTATTAGTGATTGGAAACTAAGAAAAACAAAGACCTCAGACTAAATATTGTCATTGTACTTATGTTTTATTAACAGTGTTCTTTTTATCTGTGTTTGACTGTAACCAAGCTCATGTCATACAAATTAGATACACGCAAACAAGTAAAATGAATAGCAAATAAGGTTATGATGTCATCATGACGTCATCCCTTTGCAATAAATCTTGCATCGGGGTCTTCGTTGGCTATCACTTTGGGAACGATC